GACGTGGTTTGGCGGTGGACGTGGCAGTGCCGGGTTAACGGCTGGACTTGGTGATCATAAAGTTCTTTTCCAACCTGAACCGTTCTGTGATGGCATAGGCAGATGTCACAGAGATCAGGGAGCCTTTGGACTGTGGTTGGTGGGACTGACTGCGCTCCATACCTCCTGCTCAGTGCTTGGCTGGCTTTGTGCTGCAAGACATCAGGGCCACTTTCACCCAGTGCTCTATGACAGTGAGTACCCTGGGAATGGAGCCTCTAGGGACTCCCGGCCTCCCTCTGTCCGTTTTGGACCTCCATCCTCTGCGGCTCTCCCCAGCCAGCTCAGCAGGCTGTGTGATGGCTGGCTGTGTCACCCGCCGGGTGTGCTGTGTGTTCTGCTCCAGCGCCTGCTCTCTTGTGTTACTCAGATGCCTGTTGATTCCCTTTATGAAGTGATTTTAATGGTTCCCTTTATGAACTGGTGTAAAAATGAAGTGATTTTTTTCCCTGTTAGCTCAGTGAGCTAGCCTGGTCTCTGAGGAGGAGACAAACTCTGAAATGAGTGTGGGAAAGAAATGAGGAGGGAGCTGGAGCAAGCCTCTAGGTTCCCTCATGTCATCCTCCCATATCTTAAAGTACCTCTGAGAAGTTTGCTCTGATGATTTCCTATATGTTTCTGATTTTATTCCCCTTTTACCACTTCTCCTCATCAACATGTTTCCTGTACCCAAGGGACCATCATGGGTACAGGCTGCCTTCTTGCTCTGTTCTGTGCCTGGCTTCCCAGCGTGAAGGACGCAAACCAAAATCTGTGGAATCAAGCTGTGGAATACACGAAGAGAGCGGCTGGTCGTGCCGGGGGGCACTGGGCTGGCTGGCGGCGTGTCAGAGGCGTGGAGGAGCCTGGTGTGCTGGGGCTGTTGATACCCGTTTGAGCCCAGTTGAAGCTGGGATGGTTGAAGTGTTTCTACCTGCTGGCCGTGCTCCTGCTCTGCTCGCTTCTCTGTCTGGAGATTGCTGTCGGTGGGCTGCTGTGGGTCTGCTTGCAGTGTACAGATTGAAGAGTTTCAGAGAGTTGGAATTCAACCAATTTAACTCCTAAACTGGTTGATAATGCTGCTAAGAAAATACCCTTTTCAAAGCATGAAGGACTAGAGCCCCTTGGAGAGTTTGAAGAATATTTTTAACACGGCAAAACAGCGTTGTTTTTCTCCAACTTCATTCCAACAAATTACTAGCTATGGAACTTGAAACATTGATGTATTTAAACTGTTTGGTTTAAAAGTTTACTGGCCACTTTCTGTCTCGGGCTGTATCTCCTGCTAGGGTTGTGCATCAGTGCATCTCCCACATACACGAACACCGAGAAACCTTACAGCTGACTGTACTGCTTTCAGCCGCCTGGGATAGTACGATTTTGTCAGTCAGGCTAACTTAAAGTGCGTGATTTAATCCACACCATGTTGATAAAAAATAATGCTTTCCTCAGTATTTCTGAAGTGAAAATACCTCATGTGTTTTAAGGTATCTTTGGACCATCTGTCCATTGATGTTTGATAATTTCTTCAGTTTTATAATTGGGTCCTCCCGATTTGTACAGAAGGGCAATAGGAGCACATGGCTATTGTCGTGGATCCTTCCCACTATAAATCATACCTAAAAAGTGAATCTGGCAGCAGTTTGTAAGAAAGAAAGGTCAAGATGCAAGTTCTGGTAACAGGCGTATTTCTTCTACATCTTTGTATAAGAATGTTATTTTTATCTTTTTATTTTTCTAGTGGCAACAAGTAGGAACTGAAAATTGGATTAAAATCTTTGGGGATTTTTTTCATTCTTTCACTGTATTGCTTTTTTCCACATATAGTATATTCTTTTAAATGAAATGCAAATTTTACTGCAAATATTAATAACAAAAGGATGCTCTCACAGACTTAGAGTTTTAGTGCTTCTGTTCCTAGAGGGCGCAAGATTATAAGGAACTAGTTTTTATAAATTTAGGCAGTGGTTTCTGTTATCTTTCCTTAAGCCTCAGTTTGCTTTTGCTGTAGTTATTTCAGTCATTTAAGAATCTTGACTCGTTCTTTTTCCGTCTGCAAACAGTTGTTGTCTTAACTACTGATGGAAAACGCTGGACATATCTGTATGGAAATGAAATCCCGTCTTTCCTGGCAGTTCAAACAAGTGTTATATGTAACTAAAATATTTCACTCCTGACAATACCAATCGAGTACGTGTTTTGCTGAGTCTTCTAAAAATAGTGCCAGTCGTTATGTTATTCTTCATTAGCTGGAACACCTCTCATTTGAGGTTGAGGTTTATCTAACTACGAACAAATGCAACCACGTACAGTTTCTGGACTGTGTTTGAAGGCAACGATTGCGGTATTTCTGAGTCTGTGAGTCATACCAGTGCCACCGTTGCCTGTTCCTAAACGAGATAGCTGTTGGGACGTGACGTAGATTTTAAATGTTATAGATTGCTTATTCTGTCTGTTCAGCAGTAAGATACAGGCTAAATGAACTTCGGCAAAGCAGAGACTGATTCCTATCGTGATACGCGGATGCTTTGCTGAAAAAAAAAAGGATGCTTTTTGTCATGACTTCAGCTAGGAAGTGCGTATTGCTCTCTTCCCGGTATTTTTTGTCATTACAACTCAGATGGATTTCTTGGTACTTTTCTCTGCTCTTGCCGCGGTGTGTGCATGACTTTAGGGACGTGACTATCCCATTCGGATCAACCCGAGCGTGGGCTTCAGTCAGCTGGAGACGGCGTGTCCCTCCGTCCAGAAAAGCGGTTGCGATTATGCACAAATTTGACTCTACCAGCAGTCCAGCTGGAGGTTGGAGATAAATGGGACATTCCCTGGAATGGCCTTTTACTCTGCTTCAATGAGTACTGCCCTTGCACGAGTCTTATTCCCAACTACAGTTGTGTTGAAGATCAGTCTTGGGTTCCTCTGGCGAGCTGCTGTGTCTGTATTGAATGCATACTCGCATGTGTGATTTCTTCTGTGAACACTTGACACGAATTTAGATTTATGCCTCCTCTCAAATTTAATGTAGAGACTTAAAATGAAGTATTGTGAGGGACACAGAGCTGGAAAGGACTGCCTAGGTCACTGAGGCTAGTCATTCGGTGCTGCAGACACCAGGCGCCGTACAATCGTTTTCATCTTAAAAAGCAGGTAGACTTTTTGTTCCTACGACTCGGATTGGAGGGTTGTGCAAAAACCTCGTGGATCTAATGGTTAGATGTGTCCGTGGCCAGATGATATTCATTTGTTCTTCTGTCAGGGTTGTGCTCTAACCTAAATAGCTCTGCTCTTTGATTTCAGTGAAGCCGTACGTACGGATGTGAGCGCAGTGCAACACTCTGTGTTATATAATTTTTTTGAATTTATGAGCTGAAGCTTAATACATTTCTTCAATGACTAAGTATTCTTGTTTTTTCCTTTTATAGCTTTACATGTGGTACACATGAAAATGAGGCTGAGAACGCGGAAAGCTTCTCAGCAATCGAATCAAATTCACACACAACGTGCTTTGAGAGCAAAGAGGAAACATTCGGAGGTGGAAGAGAGCTTACCTGTCGGCGGAGGAAGACCACAGAAAAATGAAACTGGCTTGTTGTCTTCAATCAAAAAGTTTATTAAAGGAAGCACACCCAAGGTACACCATCAGTGGGTTCCTTCTTTTGTTTTTTAATTGGGTCATGTTAAGTTAAATTTGATTTGAAACCATTTCTATTAAGACTAGACAAACATGTGTAACGTGGTGGAAGCAAAGCGTTTGTGTGCAGAATTGGAAGGCAAGGAGTACCTGTGAAAGCTGGGTCAGGTAACCTATTTTTTAAAAAAGCAGACTTTCAAACCCTACAGGAGTCAATTGTAGGTGTACTTAAGACAATCCAATAAATCACAGGATTTATTACCGAGGTATTTCTTTGTGAAAATGTCGTGTAATAAATTTGGTAGAATTTTAATTTCTGTTTTAAGGATTCCTTGAATTTGGGAATTACTGGTACTGGCAACTGAGAAAAGCAAGTCTGTAAGCATAAATTCGCTGAGTATTTGTAGCCTTTTTCCTTTTTTCCCCAAATTAGTTAGGAGTCCGTCAGTCAATAAAGGTCAAACCTCGCTAATTCAACTGTCACAAAATTGATACGACTGCTCAGCGTGTTATTGCACTGAACGCTCCCCCGGCTTAGGGGATCAAATTCAAACATTGTCAGGGCTAAACCAGTAAATCTCATCTGTCTTGATCCAGACAGAAACCTGAACTTTACTAATCTTCACGTTAAAACTTGTTGCATGCATGTTTTGAGGGTGAATTTTATATATGTAAAACTTTGATAGGCTGAATGTAACCTTGCAATTGCTTCAAAAACCTGTGGGTTTTTTCCTGTAAAGAGAGGCCAGTTAAAAAACCTCACTTCATTCAGTCCCAGCAGCCCACAAATTGACATTATGTAGCTGTAAACTGTCAAGAAGAGTAGCCAAGAAGTCATAACTGAATTAAAATGTGTCCGAGATTAACTATATGATAAATAAAAATATGGTATAGATTCAGAAGTATTTTCTGGGTTTCGAACTAAGTGTTGAGATGATAATTTGTTACAAGCTGAAGTTAAAATAATTTTAATTAAAGTAACAGTATATTCTTAAATTGTCAAAAATATAGAGAAATTTATTATTTCATGGCACGTGGTAGTTAGCTATCATAGGAACATTGAGGTACTGACATAAAATATTTCAGTAAAAATAAAGGGTTAAATCCACTTACATTTTGTTCTTCGTTAATCCAGGACAATTAATCTATTTAACATTCAGCATCTTCATTGCAGCTCAGTAGTGCAACGTTTTGGCTGCAAAACCACCACAACAAACCTCTGAAATCGAAGCAAAACATTTTACGGTGGAATTTTTAAGATAAGGGAAATATGTCTGGTTTTCCTTTCCTTTGTCTCTAAGGTTTTGTTAACTTTCTCTCTTCCCCTCTTCCCTTCCTCTCCCAAATCTTTGGATTACATTTCATTCTTTTTTTTCCTGACAGGTTTTTTAATATAAAATGTCCACATTTTTCTCCTGTTTCCTTTCATGTCCTCTCCTGTGCCTGTAGCAGGACTTGGAGTGGTTCCAGTGGCATTAGCATGGCATGATATTGATACTGCCGGGCTATCTTCCAAAGCGCTGATGACTTCACAAAGTAGTCTTGAGGCTGCCATGGAAACGTTAGAACTCTCTGAGATAGTGTGTGTGTACAACTTGCACAGTAGTTCGTTTGTGGGTACGTTAAAACCGGCATCACCAGAGGTTGTATGGATTTGTGGCAATAAATGTCGTCCTAACACGTGTGCCTTCACAATTCCGGTCATAGTCGTAGGACATTTGCCTGGTTTGTAAAGATGCCTTGCTAGAAGTACCCCTTAAACAAACAAAACCTGAGAACGCCTTATGGCTGTTTAGTTAGAGGAACCAGAGGCTAAAGTGTGGCTCTTCAGATGCGGGTGGGTGATAGGCCTGATCTTGAGGTCTCTGGCTCCCTCACGGCGCCCGTGCCCGTCAGCAGGAGCATGGGGGCACGGCAGGATTTGTCATGTACAGGACGGCGGGGCTGACACACCACAGGAGCTGGTACCCGCGTGCGTGCAGGGAGCACTGTTAAAATTTTTCAACATTAACGTTGGAAATCCTGTAGAACTTGCTTCTGTGGGTTACTCTGGACTCGTCGAATGTGGGGGGTTCTAGCGCTGTCAGAAGCTGCACGGACTCGACTGTGCTGTCATTACTTCTCGTCCCAGTTTAGGGCATTCCTTAACACATACGTGGTTTCCAGAAACAGCCTAAAAGCCTAATATTTAAAACCAAAATGTTGATGTCAGTGTGACATTGCCCTGTTCCTTACAGCACAATTATTGCTAATAATAATAGGTTACAGGGAGCTGAATAGATCATAGGATTCAAATAGATTGTTACATTAATACGTATAATAGGTGTATTTAACTCAGTATCTCTGCAATGAAATGTTCCGTGAATAAACCCAGTGGCACAACAACATTATACCCAATTTCACCTTTGAGGCCTATTAACTATACAACATGGGCACAGCAGCGTGAGCTTTCCCACCACATCATGGTAGCTCCTCTTCTGGAGGGTGGAAGGGGTCTCCCGATTTAGTGAGTTCTTGATGCCTCTGCTGATACCATCAGCCAGATTTCCTGTTTCTGTTGTGATTTTTGTGGCGTTTCTGCACTTGTTTTCCAAAGCAGATGAGAACACAACTCGGTTTGTGAAGGCCAGTGGATAGCTTTGAGAAGTTAAAGAATTTATCTCATTTTTTCCCCGGTGTTGAACTTTTGAACAAATGACCTAGAAGATGAGATACCTCCCTGTTCCTTATCTGTTCAGTGGGGCATCGTTTGCTCTCATTATATGGATTTATGGTATATACAATATTATTAATTCTAGCGGTAGTAATTAGATTCTCACCAAGGTTGTTGGTCAAGGATATTGCCAGCAGGAAGCTTTTGGGATCGGTGGCGTTCAGATGTCCATACATTTCCACGTTTGTTAGTATTTCTTTTAGCTACTGTACTGTTAGCGTGGGCTTTAGATTAATTTTTCTAAAAGATCTATTTACTACTTCTTTTTTTTTTTTTTTGGAGCACGCAAACTGTTTTTCTCTTTTCTTTTTAAAGATGTGAAACTGCTGCTCCAGAAAGGTGATACTGTAATTCTAAAGTGGAAATTTTAATTAACTTTTATATGGTCTATGGCCTTGTTATTTATTTTGAAATTTAATTCAATTTATTTTGCCTTGTCTCACACCTTACAATTCAGTGGACCCTGTATGGTCATGCTTCAGATTTCAGATTGTCATTTTATGAAGTTGTAGTAGGTGCCTTGGGGAAAAAGGAGAAGAAACCGGTCTTAAATGTGGGTGCCTACACGTACACTCACGCACAGAAAATAGGGGAAAATGTTTGGTTCTGTCATTGGTGTGAGTGCCCCAGGGAAGAACAGTCACGTCCTTAAAGGTAAGCGGAGTCGCCGGGTCACCCCCTGCCTGACAGCGCTCTTGGCAGGTTTGCCACGCGCTGTCTGGGGCGGGCTGAGCCAGGCGCTCGGTGCGGGGAGCGTGGTGGAGACCTTCCCGTTGGACACCGTTGTGCAGCTTGTCTCCTGGTGCTTAACGGGCAGAGAAGTCGGGTTTCAGATCGTTTGGTGCCTTGTCCCTACATTGTAAGGGGGCTAGCCGGTGAAATGGCACTTAGAGCCAGTTTTTCTAGTACAGAAGTTCGAGGAACCGTTTTCTTTCCCGATACTTTGCTATTTACCTTGAGTTGTGTCGGTTTACCCGAGTTTAACATTCCAGCTGGCCAGATGCGTGTTGCATATTCTGCATCTGGAAGTGGAGCAGTAAGTGGATCTTTTGTGAACCTTTTCCTAACAGCCAGCATTTTCTGGTAGTACTCAGCAGAGAAAAGAGGCACTATTCAGTATGTTTCTTTTTTTCCCCTTTTCTGTTTTAAGGAAGAAAGAGAAAATCCTGCAAAAAGAAGTAGAATTGAACGGGATATAGATAACAACTTGATTACATCCACACCTCAAACAGGAGAAAAGCCTAACAAACAGATCTCTCGAGTACGACGGAAAAGTCAAATGAATGGAGGTTTGTAAATACTCTGATCGCGTGTCCTTGCAGCCGAGCGGTGATCCCGCAGTCTTACGGCCGTTGGCCAGCACAGGGCGTTTCTTCAGTGGTGGGGTTTGGGGTTAAGGGGGTTGTGATGGGCTTCAGTGAGAGCGAGGCTGAGCTAACAGCAGCACCACACGTTTTCCAACACTGTAAGCAGCAGTTCTTCTTCTCAGAGACACCCATGGTGTCTTCAGAAGAACAATGTGGATGCTTGGTCGTCACCAGCTATTTTGGAACTAATTTAACTTCTTTCTTTGTTTTTTTTTCGCCAATTATTGTTCTAAAAAGCCAATGATAATTACTTGATTTGGCTCTTCTCCCATTTTCTTGCAAAAAAAAAATAGTGAAATGTGGCTTCCCAGCTCATGACCTTTGTGGAAGTAACCGGGTGCCCTTAGCTAGTGAAAGCAATTGTGAAACACACAGACAGGTTTCTGTCACAGAATCATAGGAAAACTGAGGTGGGAAGAGACCTCCAAAGGTCATCTGGGCCAGTCCCCCTGCTCCCCTCACAGCAATGTTGGTTCAGCTTGAAGTGAGATCTGGCTTTGGAGTTAGATCAGGCTGCTCAGAGCCTCGTCCAGTCAAGTTTGTACTATCTCTAAGGATGGAGATTCCACAGCCCTGTTCCAGTGTTTGACCACCTCACTGTGAAAAGTGTTTCTTTTTGAATATCTCTAATAATGACATGTCAACACGGTCAATGACGTTTAAAATATCAGCTGTGGTTCCAAATCTGACTTTAAACCCCCATTTTTTAGACTTCTTTGCTAAGGAAACAAGGCTTAATGTGATTGTGCTGCCTGGCAGCGTTCCTTCATTCTCCATTCCCCCAATAACCTGGGAATCCATTGTCTGGTTTCTGCCAAGTTTGTCAGCAAGGCAGAGGTCTCCAAGGTTTCCTGATCCGAGAAGGTTTGCAAAGTCGGTGGCTACGTAGAGGACAGAGCTCCAAATGAGTGACTTCACTGCTGGAAAGGTTACAGTGTGAGAGAGATGCCTGGTTGGTTGTTGCCAGAGATCACCGTAACTTGGCTTTAGGAGAAACCCCTTTTTCCAGTGTTTGCTACTGTTAATTAAGGTTTTTTGCCTCCTGGAGAGATAATGGATCCAGTGTGGTGCACGCAGACGGTGCTCAGAGGTGAAACTGTTGACCTACGTGTTTGGAGATACGCAGGGCACCCCGAGCCCGAGTCACGCGTACAGCGATACCAGGCTCTTCGTTGAAATATTCCCTGTTAGGGAAGGCACCGAGGTGCCGCTGCACACCCCACGTTTTATATGGAAACGATGGGAGTGCGAAGTACTTGTGCAGCTCCATCAGGCTCAGCTGACAGAAAGGCTCTCAGCTCATGTGCACAAAATATATTTGCTTACTTCCATATGGACAGCCATCTCCAAGGCTTGTTGCTGTGAAGTAAATCACTTCTCTTTCATTTCAGTCTCAGAACTGTGTCTTGGATCTCAGCCATGAGCATTTTTAGTTCTAGGATGTACTTCACTGTACACGCACAGCTCTAGAAAACCTTAATTGTTGCATGTTGTGTTTGGTAACGGGAAGATTTATCTAATTCTGTGTCCCTTGTTACCTGTGATAGCAACTAAAAATTATTTTACTTCATAATTGTATTTATGCATATAAGTGTGTGTGTACCTACGTGGAGAACAGGAAACCATGGCCTTGGTCTGGTGAAGTCTGGAGGTTCTGTCCACTGACACTTCCTCTCGTTGCCATCCCGTGGAGTCCCCCGGCAGTGGTACCTACGTGCTGTGAAAGGTGCGCAGCACCTCACAGTCTGTCTGCCGCCATCAGGCCCATTGAAGGGATTTTGAACTTCTGTTGTTTGTTAATCTATAGCATACTTTACGTGTACAAACAGTGAGCGCTCCCGAAGTTCAAGTCTTAAGATGGTGTTGGAAATGGACATTTTGTTGATACTAAACTGCTTTTGGTTTTCTAATTAAATACTTAGGCTAATTTTTTTGTCGACCGAGTTGAGCCATGAGCAAGAGGGATCTTTCCCATAGTGAAAATAATAACAGTAAAAGAGAGGATGATGTAACTGTGAAAAACAGAAGCACGGCGTTTTACTTGGTAACGTTTCTTTTATAGAAGCTGGAAGTTACGAAATGACAAACCAACACGTAAAGCAAAATGGAAAGTTAGAAGATAACCCTGCCACTGGGAGTCCCCCCCGAACTACATTACTGGGAACCATATTTTCTCCTGTTTTCAATTTTTTTTCACCAGCAAATAAAAATGGTGAGTATTATTTTAAAAGCCAATAGTGTTAAAGCTAAGAATGACAGATTTTTTTTTTTTTTCTTTTAAGAAAAAGCTATTTTGAGCAGCAGTACGCGTTGCATTCTGATTTACAGAGCACGTGTTTCTGCTACCAGATAAAGGGCTCCTTAAGGAAGGGTTGGTCACTAGTAAAAGAAGCAACAAGTTCATTTGCATTAGAACGTTTCTTTCCTAGGTGTACGTATCTAGCGATGTACCTTTTCTTTATTTAAAAAAAAAAAAGAAAGAGGTATGAAGTTCCTTGCCCCAGACATAAAAGGCATTTGTCACGGTCTTCATTTTGGTTCCCATTTTTGTAGCGTGAATCAAATGCAGCCGCCTTTGGCTACGCCAGAACGTTTGCGTGCGTGGTTAGTAACGACTGCCGGCACGCTGGGGGGTCACTCAGCTTGCAGATAATGACCTGAGCGTGTTGAAATCTTAATTCAGGCACATCAGGATCAGATTCTCCCGGACAAGCTGTTGAAGCTGAAGAAATAGTCAAACAGCTTGATATGGAACAGGTAGATGAGATTACTACAAGTACTGCAACATCCACCAATGGAGCAGCTTACACTAGCCAAGCAGTGCAGGTCAGGTCTGCTGTCAACAATGGTTTAGAAGAAGTGGAGGAAACAAATGACCGTGACCTGCCCCCGCTGACAGGTAAGAAATGTGTGCCTGCCGTGGGCTCATGTGTTGAAGCTGCCTGTGGTTTGTGCTCTTAGGGGGATCCCAGCACCTGCATTTTGTATAAACTAATGTTTCACTCGTGCTTAGGGCATGCAAACGGTATCAGAGGTGGGGTTTACCTTTAGTAGACAAATCTGGTTTATGCACCAAAGATGCAGTTTTGGCACATCTCTTCTGTTCCCCCTGTAGCTCAGTTTACCTCATCACATTTATCCATATAAAAACAAAGATTCCAGAAGAAAGACATTTCTGTGAATATTGAACCCTCCCGCCCCCATCTGTCAGTAAAACGCACCCTGAGCCTCGCTGATCAGGAAAGAGAAACGTGCAGCGAGTGGCGAGGGGAATGAGAAACGTACAGACCCTACGTGAATTTCCGAGCTTTCTTTGAAAGACTCCTCATGCATCTCTTTTGACAAACGTTGTATCCGTAAAACTCGGCTTCTCCCCTCTGTGGGTGGCCAGCGTCACATTCTTAGCAGTTCCCCAAGTCCTCCCTAGACCCTCAAACGCTGGTGGGTGGGTAGTACCGAGGTTTCTGAGGGCTCCTTCCAAGGAAGGGCGTTCGCCCGCGAAGCAGAGGGGCCGCTGGATGAGCCGCAGGTCCAAGCTAGACCCGAGCTGGCCCGTTGCCTTGCTCCGAGGCGCCCCTCAGCCGTGAGGGGAGAGGACCCGCAGGCTGGAGGAGTTGTGGGCTGGAGCCTGTGTCCAGGGGTTCGGGTTCGCGTCATCAGAGGGTCTGTGGGCGCCTGGCTGCGTCACCCGGGCACTTCCAGCGTGGCCAGCTCGTGAGGTGGTGTGGCGTGGCACGGCGTCCAGCTCTGGGGCAGCTTCCCCAGGAGCCGCGCAGGCTGTTTCCCAGGGAACGGGACTGAGGGGGCTGAAGGGGGAGTTGTTCCGCTGCTGTTTGAGGCACTCGGGTGTCAAGTGCAAATTTTCACTTCTAAAAACTGCACTAATAAGACTAGCTCTTGTGGTTTTTTGTTTTATTTTTTGTTTTGGTCATTTTCGTTGAATTTTAGCACCAGTATCTCCAGACAGTGGCTACTCATCAGCTCATGCAGAAGCCACCTATGAAGAAGACTGGGAAGTCTTTGATCCGTAAGTGCTAACGTTGGTACTGAAAATATAAACCTGATCATTTTGGGTATTGGATTAAGAACATTTTTATATTATGGTAATGAATTCCAAAAGCTCTTAACTTAAAAAATAAGTGTATATCGATGTGGGGTTTTTTTTAATTTAAAATACTTATTTCTTGTGCAGCCTTAAATATTTGAACTGCTAAGTTGGATGACAACATTAGCAGTTAAGTGATGTGTATACATTTCTACAGCAAAATCTGTATTCTTTTCAGATATTATTTCATCAAACACGTTCCACCACTAACAGAAGAACAACTGAACAGGAAGCCAGCTCTTCCACTGAAAACAAGAAGCACACCAGAATTCTCATTAGTTCTAGACTTGGTAAATATCTTTATAAAGACATACGGAAAGCAGGGGGTATGTAGCATGTCGTTTATTTTGTTTGTTGCTGGAATTAGTTATGTTTGCTTTAAACAAAAAGGCCTTGTTGAGTGTTGCACGAATTTTAGTATTTTAAGTTAAATACAGTCTGCAGTAAAAAAAAAATCAATAGTGGCAGGACTGGAATGCTTGCTGTGTTCGTTGGGTACTTAACCTCCTGTTTAAGAGGAGAGAAAGCATTCCAGTTGTTGTCATCTCCAACAAAGACTTACCTGAACCCATAAAGCTTTCCTACGTGTAATGTGGGAAAAAATGAGATGTAGTGAACAGGGGAGTTCAGTGTCCTACATCTTGTGTCAAGATCGATCAAGAACAAACCTTTGAATGCTGAGAACGTTCGTATTCTTAAAGGGCACAAATCCACTTTTTAAAATATTCATAGAAAATAGGTCTGTCTTTACAGTAATTTCTTTTACTCTCTCTGTGTTGGAAGTTGTTTCAGATCCTGTTAATGATGTCGGGAACATTGTTTTGTCATGAGCAGCGTCGGCTGGCATGTCCTCTAGTGGTCATATGAACGGCCAGATTATTCAAACTGACAGGTGCAGGTTTGAGCTGCATGACAGGATACCTACCAGACTGAAGTATCTTCTTGTAATTGTGCCCCTAGCACACAATTCTGAGTGAAATTGTTCAAAAACTGCAAGAATAATGAAATGTATAATTCATTCTAAGAATTCTTCTTCAATCTTGACAGCACTTGCACAAAAATAAATTTTCCCGTCTGAATAAACCACCCTTAAAGGGAGCATAAAAATCCAGAACGCAAGTAACATTTTCAGCGTTCTTTTTGCAGTCTTTTCTTTCTTTGATACCATCTTTTATTTTTTTACTAGGATGAAACATTAGTGCACTGTAGTCTAAATGAATTAGAAGATGCTGCACTCACTTTTCCAGTTCTTTTTCAAGATGTCATTTACCAGGTAAGTAGCGTGCAGAGAGAATTTTACTCCTTTTTATTTCGTTTCGCACGCGAATTCTTGCTGGGGTGTTTGTGACCGTCTTGTTTGAAGAGCGCTAAGGAGCCGCCCGGCGTTTCACGGCCGCCTGGGTCATCAGCTGCGGGTGTTGGATCCGGCGGGGTGGCTGGATCCAGCGCTGCTCCTGCCCGCCGCGGCGCGGGGGCGTGGGTCAGGGCTCCCGGGGCGAGCAGGCCTTGGTGGGCCGGAGCAGGCGAGGGATCTGCCGAGCGGCCCGTCTCCGCGCCAGCAGGTGGAGGCAGGAGCACGGACGGTTCAGCCGCTGTCGTTCCCCAGGGACGGCTTCTCAGGGCTGCTGACTGCCGTCCTGGGTAGGGACAACCGACCGCATTGGCCCGTTGATTCTTTCTACACCAGAGACATCTTCAGAGCCCAACGTGACCCGCGTCGGTCTCCGTCGTTAGTCTCGCTGTACGCTTTGCCAGTGCCAGTCCTGCCTCTTCCCTCCCAGAGGCTGCTGGGTTCTTCGAGTGCTTTTCGCTTGCCTGGTGGGGACCCCAGGATTCAGGTTTTCCTTCGGCTTCAGGAGGTGGTGGGAGTTGTGTGGGAGTTTTATGCTGACCTACCAGAGAGGAACAAGCATGGGAAGGAGGAACTCTCTTCCAGCAGCTGCCAAAGGTGCTGCACTGACCCAGGCTGCTGTTCTTGGGTCCCTTTGTGTGCTGCGCCTGGGAGCAGCAACAGCTTCCCCACCGTGTAGGGTCCAATATTGGACCCCACTGCGGTATCTTTGGAAAATGAGCCAGTCATCAGGCGCCTTAAAAGGACACCTGTCCAGGTGTTTTTCCTGATTTTAAAAATGTTTTTCTTTGCTGTTTCATATTAAGACGCTAGGAATCTGAAAAGCTGAAATGATTTTTAAATGTGGGTTTATCTTATCTCTTCTTTGATGACAGCTGCGCGCAGTTTCCTCCAGGTTGAACTTGGAACGAGCCTTAGGATTAGTTGTTTGGAGGTTCTTGACACCGGTAACAGAATCAGGAAGACTAAAGCTTCGTTTTTTCCCTCCTTCTCTTAAGAGATCTCAGTATGATTTGACTATTTTCTGTCTCTAACTCTGGTTCTTCCAGTGATTCTGTGTTTATGCCAAGATCTAACTGGGATTTTGCCTTTAGGAAACTGAAGTCAGTGGACAGAGTGAGGTACTGTGTTTCTAAAGCTCTGTTTAACGGCGTGTACACGAGCTTGTGCAGCCCTTGACACAGTGCAGTTACTACGTGGGTCCTGGATGAGTTTTCTCTTGGCTCTCTCTCGAGTCTAACCTGGATTTGCCAAGGGACAGTAGCTTCTCACAGGCTTGAGAAAGTCTGCCACTGTCTTGGAGCGCGCTCTCCTGGTCGCTGTGTTCTGTTTTGCTGGTTTTACATCACACTAGACTCTGACAGAGCACTCACCTCTTACTAGGTGACAGGTAATAAGCAAGACAAATATTTTAAAGATACAATTAAATTCATGTTTAACTAGGGTATAATATCACAGGAGATTATTTGTCTTTTTGCATAAAAGCTGAAAAGAAGTTTGTTGGTATTTCATACCCTTCCTAGAATTTTTAGTCAGCGATTAGCTATTTATTTGCTTTTAAAATGTATTTCTTTGGCTTACCAGTTTTACCATCACCTCTGGTATAGTCCTGTATTAATTTCCTATCTCCATATTTCATTTAGAACATCACTTCAGCTGGCAACAGAGAAGCAAACACTAAGCTGAGCAAAGCAGAAGTCAGCAAGTTGCTATATATAAAGCATTGCATAATGTAACCCACTGAAAACAATGCTAGGTGTGAGAGGGACATTTCAGAAAATGTTTTACCTGAGTATCAAAACCGTGTACCACTTCCATGTGGTTTTCCAGAAATTGTCTGTTACTTACTTTTTAAGAGCGAGCAGAACCTAGCTGAACTTTGCCTTTCTTGGTCTGACTGATACAGCGGCTGTGAGCCTGGGTTTTCGGTGTTTTACCGTCCAGCCAGTGCTCCCGCAGTAACAGCGTGACCATAAACCAGGCACTTTCTCGGGAAGATGCCCCAGAACTGGCCCTCGTGGGCTGCTGCAACAGAAAGGATCAGACAGACTTGGGTTCTGGGAGGTCTGTGGTACGGCTGAGCGGCGTTGGCCGGCGAGTCAAGCACAGGTTTCACAGCCAGGAACCCAGCTCTGTGGTTGCTCGTTTCCGTGATTTAAGTGACAGTCTGGTTTTAAAGAACGGTTCTAAAAGTACGGGCTGGTTTGCTCCTGCGGTGCTTCTCACAGCTTAGCTGGAGTTACGCAGAAGGGAAGAACTATTGAACGTCTGAGCACAGAGTGCTGTTCTGCGGACTTACAAATGTGATTCCAGCACGGACGTGCAGGGCTTTAAACCTTTGGATGAGTCGCTGGCATTCACTGATTTCTGTTCCAAAAAAGAAATTTAAAACCCCAAGAACTGTGAAATGGGTCCAGTTGGGGTTGCTTACTTTAGGCTTTCAATACAACTGATTTGTTTGTGTTTTCTTGGTTGAAAAGAATCTTTAAAGGATGCCAGTGTTGAAGTTTTAGACTTAGTAAAAACACCGTCTTTGCAAAGCTGAGGTTTTCTTAAATACCGTATCTGCTAAGTGCTGCCTTACATCTGACTGGAATCCAGAAATAAACGTTCAGCTCCTCAGCTGTAGACTTCAGACTTTGCACTCTTTGTGTTACCTTACATAATAAGATAAGAAGCTTATTTTGCAAAAAAAATTATCTTTTTTTTTCTTGGTAAAGAGGTTTTGTTTCTGTTGCTGGCTCCTGGTGCCAGACATGAGATCGGCTCGCCCTCCATCCCGCCAAAGGGTGTCTCCCATGCCTTAGCAGGCCCTAGCCAACAGGCAGATGTCTTCACTCAGTCTTCAGCTGAAACGCCTCTCTGCAGATCTGGCCCAGCACACCTCCCTTGGATCTCCGTGATCCTTGGAAGACATTCTGGGTCTCCGCAGGTCAGCTGTGGGTTAGTGACTACAGCGTTACACACGTTCCCTCTTCCCGTCGCCAGCGACGACGGAGCTGCTTTCCTTCGGTTCTGCGGTGGAATGAAGCCAGGGGGCTTGTGAGTTCTGGCTCTCCCTTCTGACAAGCCCCCAGGCTCCGGAGCCGACAGCCAGGAAGCTTTAGTGTGTCTTGGGCAGCATCCACAAAGGGATCTGG